CTGCCCTGGCCCGTTAGAGTTCTGAGGTTGGGGAGGAACAGGCACAAGTGTGTGTGTGTGGGGGGGGGGGGGAAGAGACACCTGGACATGAACCGTGGGGCAGGGTAGGGCCGTGGGCAGCAAGTGGCCCCCGACTGGAGCAGGTGTTGGCTGTGATGCAGCCAACGCGGGTGCCCTTGGTGACCCCTGACATCAGGACGCGGGCACCACCCCTGCTCCCCTCCCTCCATCTCTTCGTGTTAGACCCTCCTCAGCCATCCGGAAGCCAGCCCTGTCCGCCAGCTCTGGGGCTCTGAGGAGACCCCGTGTGTCCCGCAGAGAAGCTGGGTTAGGGGGTGTTGCAGCGAGAGGCGGGGGAGGCTTGCCCATCGCGTCCCGCCCTTCTCTGCCCAGCTTCGCCGGGCTCGCCCACGGAGACCAAGTCCATCGTCATGCTGGCCATCGGCAGCGCCATCCTGATGGTCGTGCTGGTGCTGATGATCGTGGTCATCTGTCTGTACTGCAAGCTGTCCTGCGCGCTGAAGTGAGTCTCGGGGGTGAACCAGGAGGGGGGTGGCACTGTCCTCAGGCGGCCCTGGGTGAGATCGGGCAGACAGGTAGAAAGGGGCAGGTGAATGGGAAAATTTGTCCAATAGTGTTGGCTTGGGGCTATGGGTGTCTACGAAGAATGTTCTGGGCTGAGCGGCCCTGAGTCGCCTGTACGTGGTGGTCCCCGTACCTCCCAGAACTGGCCTTCACTGGTGGGCGGGTACAAGGCAGGACCCCTCTGTCCCCCGCCCTGCAGACCGGAGGCCCCGGGAAGGCTGTGGGAACGGGGGCGGCCTCCTGGTGGCTCGGAGCTGAGTGGCTGTGGGGACCCAGAGGGACCCCGCCACGAGGGGCCACTGAGCTATGGGTAGGGCCGGGGCACCCGCATGGACTGAGTCCATGTGATTTGGGGGAGAGACGGTTGTCAGGAGAGGGGGACCCAGGTCCTGGGAGTGAAGCCGTGAGCGGGAAGGTGGACCCCAGAAGCGGGGCGCAGGCCCCTGGGCCCTGCCCGTCTGCCCTGCCCAGCCCAGCCCCGCCGCGTGGCCTGGCTCCCCAGGCTCTGATGGGCCACCCGGGGACACCCGGGGCGGGAGTGAGTGCAGCCCTCAGGCCAGCTGTCCCAGGGGGTGTGGGAGGGGAGGCTGATACATGCGGCCGTGATGCCGGAGTTCATTTCACCTTCGAGGTGGCTCAGGCAAGACCTGCCGGGCCGCCCCTGGCAGTGCGGTGATGTTCTGATCTCGCAGGACCTGCAGTGCGCTGCCTCCCTGCTTCTGCCCGTCCGACTGCAAGGATGGCCTGTGAGGCGCCGCCGGACGTCCCGTTAGCCACATTGTATAGAGTTTGCCCCGTAGCGTGTGTGTGTCTCCTGTGTTACATATTTTTGCAGCTTGGAATAAAATTGGAATGGTCCCCACCCACCGCCGTGTCTGGCTCGCTTCCACTGTAGGTAACGCTCGGCACCCGGGCAGCCGGCTTGGTGAGTTCCAGCTGAACCGGGAGCAGCCGAACCACGGCGACCCCGCGATTGCACGTGGGGTGCTCCCATCCCCACAGGGCTCATTCCAGCCCAGTGGCAGGAGCTCGGCGTCTAACTGGCCCCCAGGTCTGCAGGACGGGCCTGGCCAACAGGGCCCGCTGCCCCTCACACAGGGCGTCACTCACCATGATGCTGCCGAGCTCAGGGGTCTGCAGATGCAGCTGAGAACCCGGGAGCTTAGCCTCCTGCCCCTGCTCATGGAACACCGAGCTCTGCACGCTGGACGGTCAGTGTCCTAACCGCAGACCCTGCTCACTCGTCGTCTCAGCCACAGGCGTCACGAGCGCTTCCCCCTCGCCACGGGCTGCTGGGTCCTCGCTGGGGCCTGGACGCGCCCCGCACACCACCGCTGGGATTTCCCCACACTCGCAAAGCCTTGTGCTGTGTCCGGGGAAAGGAATGCGGGAATAGCCGCCGGAGCATTCCCGGGAAAGGCTGAAGAGAGCAGGAATGGGCTGCTCCTGGGCTCAGCGGGAAGGAGTGAACGATGGGAGTGAACAGCACGCGTGGAGGGGAATGATGTGAGGGCGTGAAGGGTGAGTGTGGATGGGTGTGAATGAGGCTCTGAAGGATGGTGTGGATGGGTGTGAAGAATCAGTGTGAAGGGGGCGGGAGCAATAGCTCAGTGGATGACATGGCTGACCCAGGTTTGATCCCATCATGCCATATGGTCCCCCGAGCCTAGCCAGGGGTGAGTCCTGAGTGCAGAACCAGAAATAAGCCTTGCTGGGACTGGAGCGATAGCACAGTGGGTAGGGCGTTTGCCTTGCACGTGACAGACCCGGGTTTGATTCCCAGCATCCCATAGGGTCCCCTGAACACCGCCAGGAGTAATTCCTGAGTGCATGAGCCAGGAGTAACTCCTGCGCATCGCCAGGTGTGACCCAAAAAGAAAAAGAAAAAGAAAAAAAAGTCTTGCTTATTGCCAGGTGTGACCTAATAAAACAAATAAAGTGGATGCCATCAATGATGGGAGAAAGTGGAATATTCTGGTAATAGTGTGAGAAATATATATATATTTGGTCCTCATCCCCATTTCTGGCCCAAAGCACCCGATCCCTAGGAATGTTTAGAATGTAAGAGCAAGAGGGGTGTCATTTGTCAAGATAGCTGGCCTCCCATCCTGTCCTTGAAACGACTTCTGAATCCCAACGGTGAAATAGTGCCTTGTTCACCACCTGCCCCTTCCCACCACCACTGGCTTCCTGCGAACGAAGGTGACTTTGGGGAGAGACGTGGGAATGGGCGGTGGGGGTGGTCCCAGCCCTGTGGAGAGGGCTGGAAACTTTCAGTCTCATCCTTGGATTTCTAGGCAGGGAAATCGGACTAGACATGGAACCAGTCGGTCACGGGCAATGGTTGACTCAGTCGTGCCATGGAACGAAGCCTCAGAATGGCAAGAGGTCAAAGCTTAGAAAGTTTTCAGCTCGTGAAAGGTGAAGCTGCTTTGCTAGATGGTCCTGAAGAGGGCCCAAAAGCTTCTAGACCTTTCCTAGCATCTCTCCCAGCTGGGTAGCATCTGTTTATTTTGTTTATTTATTTATTTATTTAGGCTTTGGAGGCCACACTCGGCAAGGCTCAGGGGTTCCTCCTGGCTCTGCCCTCGGGATTACTCCTGGCAGTGCTCGGGGGACCCTATGGAATGCTGGGGATTGAACCCAGGTCTTCCGCATGCAAGGCAAATGCCTTTCTCACTATATTATCGCTCCAGCCCTAGGTGACATCTGTTCAGAGTAACCCAGACATTCTGGAAACAGTTGGGCCTGGGCATTTTTTGAACTGTCGCAGCAAAATGAACTGAACCTGAGGAAGAGTCTGGTGGGGGGGGGGGAACCTCAGGTTGTCAGAAGCGCAAGTGCCAATCTGCGTTTGGCCTGGGCTCTGCCTTGACCCTTAGCCCACAGCTCCAAGGTGAAACACATCAGAACCAGCTGGTTCCTGAGCTCTCAGTGTGGGGAAAGCACACAGTGGCACGGGTTCAGAACCCACAAACACAGCTGGCCCCCTCGGGCCACTCAGGAAGATCCTGCTTCTCACCGTGTCAGTGACCTGTGGCAACCCAAACTCAGCAAGGCTGGGTGCCCATGGGGGATCTTTTTGGTTTGGTTTGGTTTGGGTTTGGGGCCATACCAGGTGGTGCTCAGGGGTTAGTCTGGTTCTGCCCTCAGGAATATACTCCTGGCGGTGCTCTGGGGGACCATATGAGGTGCTGGGAATTGGATTAGGTTGGCCGCATGCAAGGCAAGTGTTCTGCCTGACGTACTATCACTCCAGCCTCTGGTTTGTTTTGAATTTAGGCCATTTCTGGCCGTGCTCAAGGGATAGTCCTGGCTTTGTGCTCAGGAGTGCCCCTGGTGAGGCCTGGGGGCCATGCGGTGCCCAGAATTTGAACCAGGGGGGGCCATATGCCAGGCAATGCCTTTCCTCCAATACTGTCTCTCTGGAAGTCCCATATGTACCCTGTGAAACAAATAAAACTCATTTGATGGGTAAAAAAAGAAGTATTTTGAGTTAGTGGATCAGCCAATATGTTAAATCAACAACAACAACAACAGTACAACAAACAGAACTGGTTTCGTTGGCAGACACTTTATTTTTCGTAGATTCTTGGCAAGATTTAAAAACAAATTTACACAAGACCAAAGGGTCAGAGACAAAGATCTACTTACTAGCATGGAACACTAAGGAGTCAATGGAAATAAAAAACAACACACTCAAATTGTCATTATGTCAGAGAGGTCACTGCTCTTTCTAAGAGGTAACTACACTTTAAGACAATGATCAAGTTTTTTTTTAATGTTCAGATAAAAATCATTTTCATATATATTTTTTTGAGTTTCAGGTTTTTATAATTTCTATTTTTGAGTCACCAGGGGATACAGAGTTACAAAGCTGATCATGGTCGGGTTTCAGTCATACAGTGTCCCAGGACCCATCCCTCCACCAATGTACACTTCCCACCACCAATGTCCTCAGTTTCCCTCCTACCACCCTCCTCCCAGCCTATCCCTATGACAGACACTTTTCTTCTCTCTGTCTCTCTGTCTCTCTGTCTCTGTCTCTCTCTCTCTCTCTGTCTCTCTCTCTTGCCTTTGGAGCATTCTGGTTTGCAGTATAGGTACTGAGAGGCTATCTTGTTTGTTCCTTTACCTGTTTTCAGCACGCAATTCTTATCCAGAGTGAATGATCAAGTTCTTGACAGTAAAAAAAGTAAGAAAATGCAAGCTTTCTATGCAGTAAAAAGAGCGATCGCCTTAAAAGTTCAGTAACCCGATTTGCTTGGAAACAGACCCTAAGAAAGAGCATCTCCATCTGCTGCTTGAACCTGTCTCTGTGGATAACTTGGGTTTTCTCAAACTTTCTACTTGACCGGACTTTGCTTCTATTTTTCGACGCCCTCTTGTGAAAACCAGAGAAGTCGCGCTGCAGCCTAGCTCTGCTTGGCCCCTTTCTGGATTTCTAGGGGTCCTATCATTTGGAAATGCCCCGCCTGCTCCTCTATGGACCCCTCAGGTCCTGCCCCCCTCTTACTCCGCCCTGCACAGCCCTGGGTGCAGCGGGAGGAGGCATCCCCCGCTTTGCACACGGCGATCTTGCACTGCACGTAGACGACGTCATAGCTGTCCAGGAAGCTGAAGGCATTGAACTTGAACTGGGCCGTGTTCTTCTGGCTCGAGTGCAGGTTGACAAAGCTGCTGTCTTTGATGCAGCTGCCGGGAAGGGAAAGAACAGGACAAAAGGGTGAATGAAGAGCCTGATGTGAATTCACTGAGGTTCAGATCGTCGGGCTAGGACCAGATTCGTGGATTCCAATCCCAGTTTTCCCTTCTGCTCAATCCTTCTTGTATAATAGAGGCAGGGGACATGTGGCACATGGACCAGGCAAGGCCTGTAAAAATGATCAGGTCTGACCTTGATACATGACAGGAGAGATGCATATGCTATTTTCTGGCTGCCTGTCCCAGGAAAGATGCTACAAATATCCAACAGCCTGGGAAGAAACTGGTTTCTCTGCCATTTTATAAAGAAACTATATCACACTATGATCAGCAGAAAAATCTCCGGGCCCCAGCTAGAACTATAAATAGACAATGAAAACAAAAGTTGATTCTATTCTATCTAGAGATATTCTTGCAGAAGAGCAGAAGGGGAGGTTGGAGGTGGTGGTTGTGTTATTCGAAGTTAAACTAATCTCAAAATGTGTTCTACCAGTCAACCACCAAAGACATCAATTAGAGGGTAAAGAAAAGGAATAATGTGAAATTTTCAGTTAAAGCAATAAATAAAATGCTCAGTCAAAACCAGAGAAAGCAGCATTAAAAAGGGTGGGCTATGGGGCTGGAGAGAGAGCACAGAAGGGTAGGGCATTTGCCTTGCACGCGGCCGACCCAGGTTCGATTCCCAGCATCCCATATGAGCACTGCCAGGAGTAACTCCTGAATGCAGAGCAAGGAGTAACCCCTGTGCATCGCCAGTGTGACCCCAAAAGCATAAATAAATAAATAAATTGGTCTCAGAACACATTGACTGTGTTATAGTATCAAGCATTTAAAAAAAAGGGTGGGTTATGGGGGTGGGTGGGCAGAAGCATTACAAATAAGGGCCACAAACAGAGAACAGTCACCAGGATGATGGATACACCCAGGAATTACTCCTGGCAGTGCTCAGGGGACCATATGGGATGCTGGGAATCGAACCCGGGTCAGCCGCATGCAAGGCAAACGCCCTACCCACTGTGCTATCACTCCAGCCCCCAAGGAAACACATCAATTTAAAGACAGGGAGATTTCCAGGATTTTTTTGTCACTGACTCCTGCCACTAAGAGATGGGTTTTGTTTTACACCAGATGCCAGTTGCCCAGTGGCAAGCATTCCACCCCTGTTAGGGGACAAAGGTGGTACATAAGCCAATAACTTGCTTAGGTCCTAGCGTGGCAGGCCCATGAGACCATCGGGAGCAGAATCAACCTTGCACTGTAGCAGATGAGTCCACAGAAACCAGCAGCTTCCAGCACTGACCAAGCCTGAACCACAAACCCAGTATAATGAAGCCATGAGACCTAGGGCGAGGGGGGGAGGGTGGAGAACACGCAAGGAGGGACAGGCCAGCAGAGAGCAAGCCTCCTGGATTCTTCCCAGACTGCTGTGGCTAAGGGTTGGTTGGCCATGGTTGGCCCCAAAGTTTCCCCCTGCAACTGGAATAGGAGGATGAATATGCCCTGGACACTGCCTCCGGGCAGAATGACACCCATGTCCAATGTTTGGATTTACGGTGACCAAGGGGGAAGCCAGGGTCCTTCCAAAACAATCGTTCACAGGACAGAGCCTTCCCTTCTTCTTACCCTTGTTGGATCAAATCATATTTGACTGTTGTAAAGTCTTGGGGATCCGGAGAAGCCACACAGGTATCCACAAAGACCCTCAGGCTGGGGTTGGAGCTGTGCAGGGTGGCCTGAAGGAAGACCTCCTTTTCCTGGCTGGCTGAGTACAGCCCCGAGCTTCCATGCTGCTGGGCCGCGGGCAGCTCGAGGAAGGAGAAGGACACATCGTAGGCGGCGCCCTCCCTGGCGCTGGATGGCGAGTTCACCTGGCAGGTGAACTGGAGCTGAGGCATCTTGTGTCTCACGATGACGTGGCCGGGGCGGCCCCGGATTCTGCCTCTGATGGAGTTGGAGTAGCTGTGGGAGCCGAGGTTCTCCTGGGAGGAGGAGAGGTGGGTTGGTGGTTGCCTCTTGCTTCCTGAGCAGAGATCACTGCTTCATGCTCCTATCTTGGGGATGGCCTGTGACTAAGGCCTGACCTCTGTGAGTTGATCCACCCATCCACCCATCCATCCACTCACCCACCCACCCATTCATTTACCTACCACCCACCCATCCATTAACTCACCCACCCACCCACCACCCATCCATCCATCATCCATTCATCCACTCACCCACCCACCCATCCATTTACCTACCACCCACCCATCCATTAACTCACCCACCCACCCACCACCCATCCATCCATCCATCCATCCATCCATCCATCATCCATCCATTCACTCTCCCATCCATTCATCATCCATCCATCTACTCACCCACCCACTCACCATCCATCATCCCAAACATCTTTCATCCACCCATCCATCCACTCATCCATCCATCCATTTACCCACTCATCCATCATCCATCCATTCACCCACTGACTCAACCCATCCATCCATTGACCCACCAATCTATGTATCCACCTGTCCATTCACCCCTTAATTCTTTTATTCATCCATGTACCCAACTGTCCATTTGTGTCTCCACCAGTTCATCCTTCCATCATCCACCACTCAAGCATTTCACCTATCCACCCAGGTGTCTATTTTTCCATCATCCTTCCCTCCATCTATCCAGCCTTCCATCATCCATCCTTCATGTATCATCCCTCCCTCCTACCCTCCCTCCATTCATCCTTCCATCTGTCAATTTACACATTCATCCATCTCCTCTCAGCACTTGCTAAAATCTGTCCGCAACTCAGTGTGGAATCCACATTCCCCAAAGGAAGGGAAGTTTCGGACAAATTAACTGAGATGGTCCAGGGTACTTGGCAAACCCAGACACAAAGCCACATCTCCTGTCTCTCCTCGGTCTACGCCCAATTTTCGGCATTGCTGACTTTCTCACTCCCTCCCCTCGCCTCCTTCCAGAGGGATGGCAGTTTCTTACCTGGCTGACGGTGCCACAGCGGCCATAGGGAATGTTGAAGATCAGGTAGCGCCCCGTGACATGGGGGCGGCACAGCTCATCGTTTAGGTGGACATCCCAGGAAGAGTAGCCCAGCCTCCGGAGATAGCCTCGGTCGATGACGACTTGGAACAGCTGAGGTGAGCAGGAGACCTGAGCTGCGGGAGGAAGAGGACAGGAGAGTCTCACCAGGTGCCTGACCCTGTGTGGTCAGCGTGGGTGCACTTACTCACTAAAGTACCACAGAACACCCCCCGCCTTCGCTTTATTTTCATTGACTTTATTTATATCCTCCCCAATTATTTTTTGTTTTGGTGCCACATCTGGCGATGATCGGGGGTTATTCCCAGCTCTGCGCTCAGGGCTCACTCCTGACGATGCTCGGGGCACTATATGGGATGCCGGGGATCGAACCCAGGTGGGCCGCATGCAAGGCAAACACCCTCCATGTTGTACTGTTAGTCTAGACTCCATTTCCCCTTCTCTAAAAGTTACGCCCCATCCAGGAGCATTGATGCTCCTTGTGAGGACCTGGCCCCATAAGAATGGGAGGTAAGGAACAGGAATGGAAAAAAACAAACATGGATGCGGAGTGTCTTCTTGCCTTACTCCCCACTGCGGGAGGCCGGCACACGGGTGCTCTCAGTGGGGATCCAGAGAGGCCCCCCTTCACAGACTCAGCCCCATTCCACACACTTCTCTTTCTTCTCTCCACACCCCCCCAGCTCCCCAGTTCCTCAGTTTCAAGGCCAAGGAGGGGGAGAGCTTACCATTGTCCTTGGGTACAAAAGAGTTCACAGGTCCTGGAGAGGGAGAAAGATGAAGGCGAGGTTAATGGCATGGACATTCGGGAGGGACCAACATAGCAGGGGAGGAAATGGACTCTTGCTTTTTGGGTCACATCCAGCAATGCACAGGGGTTACTCCTGGCTCTGCACTCAGGAGTTACTCCTGACGGTGCTCAGGGGACCATATGGGATGCTGGGAATCGAACCCGGGGTCGGCCACGTGCAAGGCAAATGCCCTACCCGCTGTGCTACGGCTCCAGCCCTTGGACTCTTGCTTTAGTCTCTACAGCTGGTGGGTCTGGCAGAGAACCCTCCAGGGCCCTGCTGCTAAAAGGAGGGTGCAGGGCCACCTGCCAGGATACAGGGAGTGTGGGGGGGGTACGGCATCTGGGGGGGGGCAGTTCTGGCAATTCTGCCCTAGCAGCAGAGCACACAGGCTATAGGAAGTGAACACCCTCATGTGCATGACCCCTGGCCACTGTTCCTTCCTTTCTTCGGGCATGCCATGCTGGGCCCCGCATGCAGGAGACACCGTTACGGGGTCTCAGAGTCCTTGCCCCTAGAAACAGGGCAGGAACATGGGTCTGGCCAGGGCCAGGAAGCTCATGAAGTTAGTCACACAATGACCTCTGCTGCCCTTAGTCCCCTCTGCCACCTCCTTTGGACATTGTAGGGACGGGAAAGACCCTGCTGGGAGATCCAGCACACAGTTCTGGCAGTTACGTACCTTTCAGGCCGGGCTTCCCCTCGGCGTAGGGAAAGGCGGGCTCTGTGGACAACACAGTGAAAGTGAGGGGGACCAAGGGGCCTCTCAGCCCCAGCAGGTATCTGCAGATATTTGTCCTCAAGGGACCCACAAGACTTTTGCAGCGAGACCAGAACGCCAAGGAGGCAAAAGCTCAGTCAAGTTCTTTCGTTCACCTGCCAAACCCAAGCCTGCAATGGACAGGTGAGTTCTATGTTTGTTTGTTATTTTGGGGGGCAACACCTGGCTGTGCTCAGGGCTTACCTCTGGCTCTGAGTTCAGGGAGCACACCTGGTGGTGCTCAGGGGGATCATAGGGGATGCCGGGGATCCAACCTGACTAGGTCATGTGCAAGGCAAAACTCACTGTCCTATTTGCTCTGCCCTGTTTTTGTTTATTTTTTGTTTTTATTTTGGGGCCATGCCTGACAGTGCTCAGGGTTTACTCCTGACTCTGCACCCAGGGATCATTTCTGGTGGGGCTTGGGGACCCAATGGCATGCTGGGGATTGAATGAACCCTGGTTGGCCGTGTGCAAGGCAAACACCCTACCCACTATACTATCACTCCTTCCCCGGGTTCTTGGGTTTTTTTTTAAGGGGATTGTTGTTGGGTCACTACATTGCTGCCTCCAGCTCTGTGCTCGGGGTAACTCCTGGCTGCTGCTCAGAGGACCATGCGGTGCCCAAGAGCAAACCGAGTTTGCCGGTCCAGGTCAATCAGCTTAGCCCTGTGTGCCCTCTGCGACCCTGGAGTTCGGACTTGCTCACCAGTTCTGCCGTTGCGATACGTAAGCCCTGGTGAGATTCACCTTGGGGTGAGTTGGGGGTGGGGTGGGTACAAAAAGAGCGAGGGAGAAGGGGTGAACCCAGGAAAGTCCCATATGGGAGTGAAAAGTTGCGCCTGGAAGAGGCTAGAACTTGGGGGAAGGGACACGAGGTGCCTGTAGGGTTCTGGGTGAAGGACAGGAAGGTGACCGAGCACCCAGCCTTGGATGCCCTTGCAGGAGCAGAAGGACAAGAGCTGTGTTGCTGCTTCTTGATTCAGTCCCTTGTCGCCTCTGCCTTGCTTCTCACGGTTGTTCTATTTGGGGGCAACACGCGGCTACACTGGAATTAGGTGAGTGACTGCAAGGCCCAAATGATTGGATTATAAACATCAAGTTGTTCCTCAAGCCTGGGTGAGGCCGGCGCCCGTTGCCACCGGCGCGCCTCCAGAATCCCAATCATCCCCGCGAAGATGCGCTAAAATGGGTAAGTTCCTGAAGCTTGGGTATTAATAGAAAGGACGAGACCCCACCCCCCACACCCGCCCCGGTGGCCCTGGAGTGTGGTGTCGGGGACCTGGACCCCCGATGGGGCGGTACCTGCGCACACCACGCCTGCGTCCTCCCGGTGCTGGCAGTTGTGCTGAGTCCAGCCGGCGTGCCCGCAGCGCTCCAGCTGGTCCTCGGTGCCCGCGCAGCGCACGTTGTTCAGCAGGATGGGGCCGTGGCCCGGACCGAAGTGGCCACGTCCCGGGGCTGCGAGCGCGCGGCCGCAGCCCAGCTGGCGACACACGACGCGCGCGTTCCTGATGCCCCAGTGGTCGTCGCACACGGTGCCCCACGCGCCCTGGTGCCGCACCTCCACGCGGCCCTGGCAGCGGCTGCGTCCGCCCACCAGGCGCACCGGCAGGTCTGCGGGGAGAGGGGCGCAGGGGCGTCGCTGGCGGCAGCTCCCGGACCGTGGGCCGTCCCCTGGTCCGAGGTCCACGCTGGCTTTGGGGTTCTCCCTCTCCCCCTCCCTCTCGCCCTCCCACCCTCTCCAATTTCTCTCTCCACGGCCCCCAGCCCACCCCACCACTTCCTCTGTTACACTCCCTTCTCTGGTAGCTTGTTTAGGGACCGCTCCCAGTTCTGGGGTGGCCCCACACCCCCCCGGGTGGTGCGCCAGGACCATTAGGGTGCTGGGAATCGAACCCTAGATTCCTACTGCAGAACCTGTTCTCTGGTCCTTTGAACCATCTCCTAGCCCCTGTCACTCTCATTCTTTCAGAACAAAGCAAGAGCTTGAGGAACTGAGGTTCTCCGGAAAAGGCCGGGTTTTAGTAAGGTTCCCTGATACCCGAGTACTTAAACGTTCAATGAAGACCAAAGCAAAACAAAGTGAACCGGCCAGCCAGCTTCCAGTTCCTGGAGAATGAAGCTCTTATTAAAAAAAAAAAAAAATTTTTTTTTTTTTTTGCTCTTTTTGGTCACACCCGGCGATGCACAAGGGGTTACTCCTGGCTTTGCACTCAGGAATTACTCCTGGTGGTGCTCAGGGGATCATATGGGATGTTGGGGATTGAACCCAGGTTGGCCACGTGCAAGGCAAACACCCTACCCACTGTGCTATCACTCAAGCCCTGGGAATGCAGCTCTTAGAAGAATAATTAGAACACGAGGCACTCCCCTGACTCAACCAAATTCTCAGAGGAATATCCTTTTTTTGTTTGTTTGTTTGATGAGTCAACTGGCATTTTGGCTATAAAATTTCTATGATGTGGACAAGATGACCTACTTGGTACTTGGAGTTTCTCAAGAAAGCATGTCATAGGAGAGATGTGTATAAGGTGGAATCCTCCACACGGACAAACCCGGAAAACAACTCAAATACCAAGGCACAGGAGAGAAGATTAGGAAGTTCATATTCGTGGAATGTGCATGGAATCGACAATGGAACATTACTGAGCAATAAACAGGAAAAAAAACCCCAATTCACATAAGGAACTACATGGATGAGTCTCAAAAATGATTTGTTAAACCAGGAAGGCAGACACTAAAGGGCACCTCACATTTCATCCCATTTATAGGCAGGTGATTCTAGAAAGCTAAACCACAGTGACAGACAGCAAACCCAGCAAACTGCTGGGGCAGGAGGCAGGCAACTGTGATCAGATCTAACACGACTTTCTGGGTCTACTCTGCAGTGGTGTGGTAACATAGTCACCTGCGTTCAATACATCTCACAGATGTGTGGAATTTATTGTCCAGGATAAAAAAATAAAAGATGCTTGTAAAAGTAGTTTTACAAAACTGTATAATTATTTTGGGGGAATGATACCCAAAGCTGTGTAGAGAATGCTTTTCTTTACACTTGTTGCAAATAACCATAATGCCCAAAAGGAGGGGGGCGGAGAGAGAGAGAGAGAGAGAGAGAGAGAGAGAGAGAGAGAGAGAGAGAGAGAGAGAGAGAAGGAGAGACAGAGAGAGGGAGAGACAGAGACAGAGGGGGGGAGAGGCAGACTTGGGGGTGGGGTGGGGCACTGGTGGGCAGAAAACTGGGGACATTGGTGGTGGGAAATGTGCACTGATGGAGGGACAGGTGTTGGAACATTGTATGACTGAAACCCAATCATAAACATCTTTGTAACTGCATCTCATGGTGATTCAATTAAAAAAAACCTTGTTGCTAGTGGTGTATTTTTCAATTTCCAGCTTTGCTAAGTGGTGGGTGTTGCAGGCTCCTCTCTCCTTGTCTCCTCCCGTTGCTGTGATGTTAGAGACAATACAATGATGCTTGTGGAAACTGTAAGTAAGGACACATTTTCTGAGGTCTCCATGGTGAATTAGGGGCTTCCAGCCCACAGGAGGGTGTGTGTGTGTGTGTGTGTGTGTGTGTGTGTGTGTGTGTGTGTGTTTGCACAAATAAGAAATACATTCCTGGGGCCAGTGCGATATTACAGCTGGTAGGGCATTTGCCTTGCATGTGGCCAACCTGGGTTCGATTCCCAGCATCCCATATGGTCCCCTGAGCACCGCCAGGAGTAATTTCTGAGTGCAGAGCCATGAGTAACCCCTGAGCATTGCCAGGTGTGACCCAAAAAGTCAAAAAAAAAAAAAAGAAAAGGAAGAGAGAAAGAAATTATAATTCTAATTCCTAATGACATCTTACTATCTCATTCCTACTTTGGACAAACTTGCAGGCTATCGAATGTAGCCTGCCCATGGGGCAGAGTCTGGCAAACTCCCCGTGGCGTACCAAATATGCCAAATACCAGTAACAATGATGGGTCTCATTCTCCTAAAGAGCCTTGAATATAATCTCAGGGTTAGGATGAAAGAGACGTTACTGGGGCCTGCTCGAGGCAATCGACGAATAACAGGATGATGAAATGAAATGAAATGAAAAATTCCTAATGTAGCACTGTTGTCCCGTTGTTCATCGATTTGCTCGAGGGGTACCAATAATGTCTCCTTTGTGAGACTTATTGTCACTGCTTTTGGCATATAGAATACACCATAGGGAGCTTGCCAGGCTCTGTCGTGTGGGTGGGATACTCTCTGTAGCTTGCCAGGCTCTCCGAGAGGAATGGAGGAATCAAACCCGGGTCGGCCATGTGCAAGGCAAATGCCCTACCTGCTGTGGTAATGTTCCAGCCCCTCCCCTATAACCCTCCCCTTTACCTTGCCCCATAACCCTCCCCTGTAACCTTACTCCCAAACCTTCCCCCTATAACCCTCCCCCACAAACCTACCCCTATAATCCCCCCAAACCCTCCCCAAACCCTTTACCCCTCCCCTATGACCTTCCCCGTAACCCATCCCTGTAACTCTCTGTGTAACCCTCCCTGTAACCCTCCTCTGTAACCCTCCCCTCAGGGGAGGGTTACATTCCTAATATCATTAATAATAAAGAAATACTTTAAGTGCTTAAAAAGACCCCACACTTACCAGGCGAAGGGTTCGTTTCTTTACCAACTGAAATCATAACTGTAAAAAAGGAAAGGTAAGTTGACAGTGTATCGACTCAAGGGCACACACTTCTATTCAAAGTTGAAAAAGAACAAAATGTTTTCTCTTAATTTAGATGCTAAGTCTTTTGTTTGAGTTTCCACTTTGGTTCAGGAGTAGAAATATTATCCTTTGGGTTTTCTTGGCATCAGAAAGTTAGTGATTTTGTAACCTTTTCATTCTCAAAAAAAATATCAAAACATTTATGAAATGATTCCCCCCAAAACTAGCTTTATAAATACGCTTTTTAAAAGAAAGAGTTCCAAAGCACTAGATTTATAGGAAGGGCCAGAGCTGCTGTACAGTGGACAGGAAGCTTGCCTCTTACACAGCTGAGTTTCATCCCCAGCACCCCATATGGTCCCCTGAGCACCGACAGGAGTTGATCCCTGAGTGCAGAGATAGGAGTAAACCCTGAGCATCACTGAATGTAGCTCAGTCAAAGAAAAAAAAGATTTTATAGGAAAAGATTTTCTTGGCTGGTGACTGGGGTTCCTTAGGGTCACCCCTGACATTGCTTGGCCTAGCTGTGTGGACCCCATTTTCAGTGGGTGGATCAGAGGGTGTTGGGGAATCACACACCACCCACTGCTGGATTGGGAGTGGGGATAGGCGGCCGTGCCGGGGTCAAACTTGGAGACTTCTGCACGCGAAGCCTCGCTCCAGTCCTCTGCGCTATTCACTGGTCCCTAGAAAAAGCTTTTCATGGGGCTGAAAATGAGGTGGGGGAAAGTCAAGTCAGCACAACTATTTTATTTATTTATTTATTTATTTTGGCTTTTTGGGTCGCACCCAGTGATGCTCAGGGGTTCCTCCTGGCTTTGCACTCAGAAATCACTCCTGGCAGTGCTCGGGGGACCATATGGGATGCTGGGAATCGAACCCGGGTTGGCCACGTGCAAGGCAAACGCCCTACCCTCTGTGCTATTGCTCCAGCCCCAGCACAACTATTTTAAGCAAGAGAAAATCATATTTGACAGCTTTGTCCTATATGACAATATACAAAGTGTGCAAGGTAGTCAAAAAATACAAGGGGCTCTGGTAAAGTTATGGTTATCAGAGTGACTGTAAGCTAGAATCATCCAGCAAAAAGGGTAAATCATTACCTGGTGGTGATGTCACTGCCACTGAGATCCCATCTGGGGCTGCCAAAAAGAATAGTGACACATTATCACTTGGATTGTAGACGACAGGTATGAAAATAACCTGATGTGTAAACTCTCTGCAATGGAAACTGTGCTGCTTACTTCCCGGGGGTGTGTGTGGGGGGGGGGAGGTCACCCATTGCAGGGCCAGAGGCATGTCACAAAGCATTTTACAAGGCAAATTGACAGCAATCCCTGTTCTGAACCTCGCCCCCGTCACCATCTGATCGACATCTCTAATCCCAAGGCAGCAGTGCTGGGTGAGCAGCACCACGACTGCAGAGATGAGAGATGAAGCTTGAGGGAGTTTCTGGCTGGCCCAGGTCTTCCCTGGAACCAGTCGGGCAGTTCCAGAGCAAACACCCATTAAATGCGGTGCTGCTTGTCCAGAGCCTTAAGACGTGGGAGGCCGTTCCCTCAGCGTCAGTGGGGACAGACCAGGAATGGGTGGGCAGGAAGCTCACCTCCTCTGACCGGCCTAGGGGATGTTGACTGTTGTGTGTTCAGAGAGGAGGGAAACGTGTGATGCCACCTCAGCCTGTTGCCCCTCCTCGGGCCCACCAAGGAAAACTCTCCATACAGGTCAAGAGAATCTCCAGGGAGAGGCACAAGAGCAGGAGGCTCTGGCCCAAGCCCAGTCACTGGACGCCTGAAACAGGAAGTGAGTGATGGAGGAGACGGACCGGAAATAGGGCAGTAACACTCAGCTCTGGTGAGCTGGACACCTTAAAATTATTCAGTGTTTAACCAGTCAAGTGGGAGCTGTTAGAAGAGAAG